GGGGGGGGGGGGGGGGGGGCGCCATCGCCGCCTGTGAGCAGCTCCCGGGCGGGGGTTTTGCTAGGGGGTTGCCCCGCTCCCGGTGGGCGGACCACCGGCCCCTGCATCCTGTTCTGAAGGCCGGGTCTGAGCGGAGTGGACTGCTGGGCCGTAGCTGTCAGACACGTACCCTGCAGGGATTTTAGAAGGGAGATTGCAGCTGGTCCTTGGGAGAAGCAGAAATGTTACGTGCATGTTACATGTTACAAGCGAGAAAGTGCTTGTCTTTGCACTGCCACAGTGTGGTCATCTATTGATTAGGGTTGATTCCCTCCTCTCCTCTTAGCACTTGCTGTGCGCCCCGCAGTTGTCGTGCATTGTCTCACTGCGTCTTCTCAGCCCCGTGAGGTGGGTACGTCTCTCCCCATTTTACGGATGAAAAAAATGAGGCTCAGATAGATTAAGGAACTTGCCCAAGGTCATGCAGCTGGTAATCTGGGAAGCCTTGATTTGAATATGATGTCTTTTCTGTAGGACTGTATTTCTGCGTCTTGCAAAAATAAATATTTGAGGAAAATGAGATAGCTGGAGAGTTTCTTCCTGGGAGTAAATTCTAAATTCATAGGTAGATATAGTTTACTTGCCTCTTTTTTTTTTTTAGTTACTTTTAAAAGATGGCTCCTGGCACCTTTACCTTTTTTGCAGTAGGACTGAACAGAGAAATTTCTCCTCTTATCAAAAAGAAGACATATATTTGGTAAAACTGCATATTTCTTGAAAAGTTTCAATTTTACTTGTACAGTTTATTCTTAATGCATACAGGGAACTCGCAGTTGGGTTATTTGCTTGAGATTTCCTTATTGCAAAATTTGTTGCTGGATTATGTGGCAATGGCAACACAGTAATTTATGCATTGTCTTATGCAATATTTCTGAGTTGAGTGTCAAAATTTAATGTGTAGAATATTGTAGAAAGTTACCTTTTAATGGTGTAATTTTTTTCTTTCATTTGTGTTTAGCAACTATCAGTATTTATAAACTAACTGAAAATTCTCATTTTAGCATTAACCTGTACTGTTTCTTTGATTATGGTTAGTGAAAAAGAGCCTTTCCTTTTCTCTTTACAAAAGAAAATGTTGATAAATTCCTTTGAATAATTGAAGCTTTATGTGTAGTCGCAAATGTTTAAGAAATCTATTGATGACCAATTATAGTACTCTGTAATTTTCTTTAGTGTATTATCAGGTTTAAGGAAATTTGTAGTTGAATGTCTTTGTAATTGTAGAGAAAAGGTCAAATTATAGAGTTAACAGGTGGATGGTGCACAGATTGATTTGTTGTTTGGTTAAAATATAAACGTGTGTTCAGTCTTGTTGAATTATGTTGAATATGATATCATGATAGAATGGTTATCTAGTCATGCTCTCCATGTGTGTCTTTTGAGAGAACTAGCTGTTAAAGGCTTATCTTAAATAATTGCATTACATTATAGACTCAATCTTTTAAGCAGTGTTTTAGGTGGAGCTTTCATTCCTAGTGTATCTTATTGCTACCAAAGGGATAAACTGTATTTAATAGATGCTGTATTAAAATGAAGTCATGTTTGGTTCTCCCTGGTTGGCACAGCTTTGGTTTCAGGTTTTTTTTTCCCCTTGTAGAATTGGAACTCTCTAGGCTCCCCTTCACCCCTGACTTTTTATTATGAAACAATTTCAAGCATACAGGAAATTGGTAATAGTGAGCATACATATGATGACCCTCTAGATTCAACATTTGTTGACATCTTGCCTTATTTGCTTTATCTGTAAATATGTGTATATTATTTTTGGCTAAACCAGTTGAAACTGAACTGTAGACATTATGACATTTCACCCCTAAATAGGTCAGCATGCATCTCCAAAGGACATTTTCTTACATAGCCAAAATACCATTATTGTTAATATTATTAGTTAATATTTTGCTATTGATAATTAGGTTAATAGTTTCATATTGATAATTCCTTAATGTAATACAATATCCATCCATATTTAAATCTCCCCATTTGTACTCAAAGAGCCTTTATGGCTTTTTACACCCAGTCCCACCAAACCAGGATCCCATCAAGGTTTATTCACTGCGTTTGGTTAAGTCTCTGATCTCTTCTAATCTAGAACAGCCTCACCTCCCCCTTTTAAAATGACGTTCATATTTTTTAAAAGATCAGGCCAGTTGTCTTATAAAATAAGTCTCATTCTTGATTTGTCTGAGTTTTTCCCTTATGGTGTCATTTAGCGTGTTCCTCCGTTCCCCCTATATTAGCTAACAGTGAGCTAGGTTTAAAGGGTTGATTCGTTTCAAATTAAATATTTTGGGCAATAATAACTACTAAGTGATGCTGGTACTTCATATTCCTTCCCATCAGGAAACATGTAATGTCAAGTTCCATTATTTGTGATGCTGAGTTTGATCACTTGGTTATGGGGGTTAAGGTAAGATATGTTTTCCCCACTGCAATTAGCAGGTAATCTATGGCATGATAAATTAGCACTGTAGTGCTAGCCTGTTCTCCAGTAATCTTTCACCAGTAATCAGCATCTGTTGCTGATCCTTGTCAGGCTAACTTTTGAATTTTAGTGTTAATCTTTTGTTGTCTATAGATAGAAACAAAATCACAGGAATGTAAAAAATCCTATGCAGCTAAGTTAATCAGATTCTGATTTTGTGGATTTTTAAGATTTTTAGTTATGAATTCAAGGTATTTTATGAATGTAAATAAACCTGACTTGAGAAAAATAGGAAAAACTCAATGCCTGTCTTTTCCTGTATTCTCACTCAAGGAGTGTGTTTCTTTTTTATTTTCGCTTGAGGAAGATTAGCCCTGAGCTAACTAACATCTGTGCCAATCTTCCTCTCTTTTGTATGTGGGATGCCTCCGCAGTATAGCTCATGAGTGGAGTATGTCCGTGCCTGGGATCGGAACCGTGAACCTGGGCCGCCAAAGCGGAGCACTTGGAACTTTTAACCACTTGGCCATGTGGCCAGCCCCAAGGAGTGTGTTTCTTTTAAGTTTTTCTTAACCCATATTTGTTACACAAGAATAGCTAGAAATATAATAAAGGAAGGGTGGATTTACTAAAAAACATTTTGAGAAAACTATTTTCTGGTGTAATGCAAAGAGCACTGGATTAAAAGTCAGAAGATCTAAATTCTAGTCCTAATTCTACCACTGTGTGAAGTTCAAGAATTATAACTTCTTTAACTTCACTGCTTCTTCTCATTTCATAATGATTAAGTTAGTAAACATTTGTGAATTTCTGATAGTGAGGCATGTTGGTTACATTTAGAGGTGAACCTCATTTTAGTTAAGCCATATAGAAATAAATCAAATATATGTAATATAAAGTTGAATTTATTTCCCAACTAATTAACTGACATTTAGTAGGTGATTGTTTTAAAGAAGAGTTCATAAAAGGATTTACTGAAGTAACACATTCTCTCATTAAAAATACGATTTAATTCATGAGACAGTTTACATGAAGTTTTCCCACACATCTCTTTTGTAAGTCATAAAAAAACTTTCCCTTATTCTCAAGTGTTGTGTGGGGTATAGCTCTATATCTATTTACACATGCACGTATACGTTTATAAGAAACTTGTCAGTGTAATTTTGTCTTTTGTCTTGACTATCCCTGGGATTTATTGGAAACATTGGTTGACTGTGTTTCTCGTGGTGGTTAATCACATATTTGCTTTGTAACATCTCTTCTATTGTTGCCTTTATGGTTGTTTAACACTTAGATTGTGCTTAATTTTTTTGTTATACTTTGTCTTCCCAGCTGATAGGATAGAGAGAAAATCTGTGGAGTCCCTCCTGTAACTAGCACACTGCGTTCCTTATAAGTGCTCAAGAGTGCTTTGTTTAGTACCGTAAATTTAAAAAGCACTCTGTGTTGACTTTAACAATTAATATTGACAAATTAAAAGAATAGTTTAAGATATGATTTTATCATTATTATTTTGATAATTCCCAGATTAGGTCTCCTCATTGCCACCACCTCAGGCAGGATGCTCCACTAGCACTGTGTACCTTCCTCTACCATCGTACTCACCACGTTGCACTATAATCATCTCTGTGTCCTCCATTAGGAAGTTAGCTCTTCAAGGACAGGGCAGTGTTTTGTTGATTTTGGTGCCCCAACACCTAGCACAATGCCTGGAGCCAAATATTTATTAAATGAATGGAGAATTGACAGAAGGGACCTCCTTTTCCAGTGTTCTAAGATTCTTAAAAGGTGATGCCGGGGCCGGCCCGGTGGTGTGGTAGTGAAGTTTGTGTGCTCCACTTCGGTGGCCTGGGGTTCGTGGGTTTGGATCCTGGGCACGGACCTAAGCACTGCCTATCAAGCCATGCTGTGGCGGTGTCCCATATAAAGTAGAAGAAGATGGGCACAGATGTTAGCCCAGGGCCAATCTCCCTTAGCAAAAAAAAGGAGGATTGGCAACGGGTGTTAGCTCAGGGCTAATCTTCCTCGCAAAAAAAAAGTGATGCCTACTAACCGCTGATGATTTACAAAATTTTTCTTCTGAATTTACTGGTTGAGTTTTCTTTATTCTCTCTTGTGGTATTATTTATTTTTATTTTGCAAACTTAAGCAACTTCTGCGTTCTAGGCACTGCTTGAGTACTACTTTGAAGATATCCATTTAATGCCTATTAACAGCCCAATGAATTAGTTACTGTTGTTATGCCCATGTTACAGGGGGGAACTGAAGCACAGAGACAATAAGCAACTTGCCTATGTTCACACTTGTGTGTGGTGGAGCTGGGACAGAATGCAGGCAGTCTGGCTCCAGAATCTGTGCTTCTAGCAACTGCAGCATGCCACCTCTCTGCTTTATCAGGGCAACGAGAAACTTGGATTTGCTTTACCAAAGTGATATCATTACCATTCATGGAGTACCTGCTATGTCTCAGGGTGGGGAGGGCAATTCCAGAAGGCCTTGAAGAGGAGGCAACAGTTGAACTAAATTAGCAAACCCTATACATTAACTGATTGTGATTATAATATTTATTGGAAAAAAATTTAAATATAAAAAAGATAAAGAAGAAAGTAAAAGTAGTAAGCAGTTAAAAGTATGAACTTGGGAGTCAGACCTGAATGTGAGTCCCAGCTCTCCTGCTTAACCTCTCTAACCCTTGCTTTCCTTGTCTATAAGATAGAGATAATCATACCTAACTCATAGGTTTGGTATGAGGTTTAAATGAGATAATATGTTTAGTGCCTAGCATATAATAAAGTATTCAAAAAGCATTATCAGTTATTGTAAAATCTCCCGTAGTCCAAGGTCATGTCTATCTTGATGTACATGGAAGCCGTCTTATTTAAAGTGATTAGGACTGGTGGTGTTCAGTTTAATTAAAAAAAAATAATATCAGGGGAATAAAAATGACACATTTTTATCTTAAATACTTTATTTTGTTTAAAAAAATGTAGAAGTATAAAGCTGAGTACATGATCCATCTAGAGTTGTATGATTTTTCTGCCTAGTCTTTTACAGTTTATTCTCCTATACCTACTTTAATAACAATTTTTATGTAACTGTTCTTTGAGTCTGAACATTCAACTTCTTTTTCATAGAAATAACAACTCTCTTTTCACATTCATAATTTCATTGGTTTATGTAATATTTAACTATGTAATTATTTTAACAAGTACATAAACATCTAATTCTTGGTAAGTTGATGAGAGTAGAAATGTGTTTTTGGTAAAAAATAAGCTTAACTAGTAGTGAACGTTCAGCAGGTTATCAGAAGGCTTTCTAGAGAGAATGGAGAGTGTTGGTTAATTTGCCAAATTGGTTTGTTAAGGAGGTTCGATAAGAAAATGTTGTTTCCTTACCTTCTATCTCTGAGTATATGGATTTATGTATTATACAGATATTTAAACAAAGGATTCAAAGCTACATAGTCATAATATCTCAATTTTATTTCAGCTCATTCAGGTTTTTTTTCATTTGTGCCCCTTTTTTAAAATATTCTTCTTCCTTGGCAATGTGTATAGTTTTTAGATTAGATCTCCATTCTCCTTATTTGTCATCGTCTCTCAATATTTTCATCTTTTTGTTATTTTACTTTGCACTCTGGGAGAGTTTCTTGGGTTTGACCTCCATAGCCACATTGACAGTTCTGTTCTTTATGCCCTCCAATATACATTAAAAAATGTTTTTCGTCTCATGAGATTTTATTTCTGCAGTTGAATCTCTATTATCTTGGCAATCCTTTATCTTGCTGATTTCCTTTTTCCTCTCATCCTTGTTTTGCATCTCAGTCTGGTCTATCCTTTAGCTTTACATTTGTGCTTTATAAAGGCATGTCTTCTGGCCTTGAGGATATCACACAATTTTCTATAAACTTCAGACTGTATCTTGGAAGGAAAGAAGTAGTAGTATTTGAGCGTCTATTAAGTGCCAGAAACTTTAGACAAATTAATATCACAGTAACTATGGTAGTTATATTATCCTGATTTTACAGATGAGGAAACAGGCTCAGAGGTGTTAAGAATCTTGCTCAAAGTCACACAGTAGAGTTGGGGATTTTGTATGGCTCTTCTAATTAAAGCAAGAGTTCCCTAGCCTTCTCTCTGCCTCCGCGTTGCTTACATACTCTGATTACATGCAGCACTCTCTATGGGCTATGTGTAGTAGAATCTTCTGGGGGTAGGGCCAACATGATTAAAGAAAACATATACTCAAATTCAGATATTATTCTCATCTCTCATCCTTTATAATCACTGAGTGAAAGAGTTCTGAAAAACACTTGGGTAAACTTGTATGATTTCTTTATGTGTACAGTAGTCTCCCTTATCTGTGGTTTCTGTTGCCTGCAGTTAACTGCAGACCAAAAATATTAAATGGAAAATTGTAGAAATAAACAATTCATAAGTTTTAAATTGGGAGCTGTTCTGAGAAGCATGGTGCAATCTCGTGCCATCCACTCCCAGATGTGACTCATCCCTTTGTCCAGTGTATGCACACGGTATATGCTACCGGCTGGTTAGTTAGTTGCTGTCTCGGTTATCAGATCAACTATTGTGGTATTGCAGTGCTTCTGTTCAAGTAATCCTTATTTTACTTAATGGCCACAAAGCACAAGAATAGTGATGCTGGCAATTTGGATAAGCCAAAGAGAAGCCATAAAGTGCTTCCTTTAAGTGAAAAAGTGAAAGATCTTGACTTAATAAGAGAAGACAAAATATCGTGTGCTGAGGTTGCTAAGATTTGTGGTAAGAATGAATCTTCTGTCTGAAATTGTGAAGAAGGAAAAATAAATTCGTGCTAGTTTGCTGTTGCATCTCAAATATGTGTGTATAGGAAAAAACATAATATATATAGGGTTTGATACTATTTGCGGTTTCCGTCATCCATTGGGGGTCTTGAAATGTAGCTCCTTTGGATAAGGAGAGACTAGTACTGTATTATGTACGTTTTTCAATGGGATGAAAATAAACTGGTCTATTTTAAATAAATGGTATGGGAAGTGTGTTTATTTTTCTGGTATCTAGGAGAAGTAATATGGGAGAGTTTAATGTACTTGGTCAGAGAATTGACGAAATTTTTTGAAATGAGTATAATGAACATTAGGAATTTTCAGTGTGATTTTTTTAAAATTAAGTTTTAGACTGTATTATTTTGAATAGGCTATGAACAATAACCCCCAAATCTCAGTGGCTTAAAATAACAAAGGTTTATTTTTTGCTCATGCTATGTGTTCATTGAGGTTCAATTGGGGGACTTCCACTCAACATTGTGTCAGTGAATAAGCTGGGTAAACTGCAAAACAGGCAAAAAGTTTGAGACACAGATTTGAGTAGAGTCTCGGATGTGCTCTGAGGAAGACAAAGGAGGAAGGGGTTTATAAAGACAAAGGACACAAGCCTACAAAGATTTACACTGAACAGCTAGTGATTGGTTCTGGCATGGGGTGAGCTGACTCGCCAGGATGTAGTTGGTCCTTGGGTTGTATCTAGGCAGATTGTTTGTTCTCGGAATGAGGAAGTGCTTCAAGATGTGACCTCTGGTGTCAGGTAAAGTTCAGAGGTTCAGTTAACATCTGGTGGTGGACGTGGTGTGCATGCATAAGCCCCACTTTCTTAATGGCCTCCCAGCTCCATTTTATGTTAACTCCATTTTATTATTGCCATCCACATTTTCCCCTTTTGATCAAGATCTTTCAACAGAAAGCACTGCAGATCAAATCATTTGATATGTATAAATATATATATATATCCCTTGTCACCAGGAAGGCTCATTCTCTGGAGTCATGTCCCACTTAGTGGGGAAAGTGAGATGCTCAATCATCAGTAGGAGTAACGCAGTCAGAGGCTTTGGCCACCCCTGAGCAATACGGAGGCAGTCAGAAAATGAGTCTTAGGCATAGTTTTTATCTGGACAAAGTATTGAGTTCTTAGTTTGGAGTTGCAGGATTGGTTGATCATCTCAAGTTGCTGAGCAATCATTATTCCGAAAGGGGAACACATAGTATGCGATGCCTTTGAGTTCTGTAGCAGTGTCAGCGGTGAGGAGCACTTGGTAAGGTCTTTTCCAATGGGGCTTGAGGGCTGTCTTCCTCTGATGATGCTTCCGGAATACCCAGTCACCAGGCTCTAGATTATGACCACCAGGATCCTTTAAGTTGGAATCCAGGAAAGTTTTCTTTTATCTGTTGATGATGGGCTTGAACATAAGACATTAGAGACTTAACAGTAGCTGGCATACTAATAGACAACAGAGGATCAGCAGAAGGTTGTGTACTAATAGACGTTGATCTGCTGATGACTGTCTCATGTGTAGTTTATGTTTTCCAAAGAGGGTACTGCGAACAGTTGGCAAGACCAAAAGCAATACCTTAGCCCAGGGGAGTCCAATCCATAGGTATATAATGAAACCTCAAAGACAGTTCACAGGACTAGAATCTAATATCTACAAAGGTGTAAACATTTTTCTCTCCACAATTACCCTCTTTTTTAGCAAAAATAATCACAGTAAAACTAATTTTACATTAAAAACTTGGCCTGATATTTTTATATATATATAAAATATTATTTATGCATTACATTATACAATGTACAAATATATATTTATTTTACAAAATAAGAATACTCAGAGTTTCTGAATTCTAGAGGGATTAGGTAGGGAGAAAAAGTAAATGTTTCATCTTTGTTCACAAAGGTATGTCTTACCAAATTGTTGATAGCTTAAGGGAAAAGATTTCTTTAAATCTGGAAAAACAAAACATTAGAGCATCTTTCTCACCTCATGTAGTCCCACGTAATTTAATATTTCTTCTACTTAAATCCAGTTTTTCATTAGTTTTCTCAACTTTGCCTGATAATGGAGGGTGATAGGAACTGTGATAATTCCAAGAAATTTGAAAGATTTTTGT